CATTAATGGCTTCATAAAAATTTATAAACTATTTAAGCAAGATGTAAATGTTTGTTTGTGTAAAAACACATACCCGTAGTTACATGTTTAGCTGTGGCGGAGTCTTTTGTACCCACCATCTTTATTTTTGTTTGAAAAAGTAAATGAAAAACCAAAACAATGGAATTACGATACTCTATAATGTAATGGGCGGATGTGGGCGATTTTTCCATCTTCGATCATCCGTAGACCATATGTGGAAATTTTATCTGTGCAAAAAATCCACTTTTCTTTTCTTTGTGAAAAAAGGAATGCTCTCAACTCATGTCTTACTGCAAACGGGTCCATTAACTTAAGCGATTTGACCCATTTTCAAGAAGAACCTACGTGCAAGAAATTTCAAAATTTATGCAAAATTTGAAGGCGATTTATTCATTTCTGCTAAGGGAGGGTGTTTACCAAATATATCTACAGCTGGACAGACGGACATAGCGATGAGCAGATATGTTTAGATCGATAGAAAATGTGGCACTGGGTCTCTGAAGCTTCTTTCTGGATGCGGCATACGTTCTGACAAACATGAGCAACCTCCGCCAAAGGTGGTAGTAAAAAACATTAAACAAAAATTTATGTATATATATATACAAATGTGTTGACGTAAATATATCATACAAATATGCATATAAAAATGTGTATATACAAAAATACATATGGATATATATGCATAATTCACTTATTGCTTTGCTGAGTAACAAATGAGTTCATGGTCTTTAAATATTTGTATTTATGATCGTTTTAAGTCCATATATGAATGTTTGCAAATACTTTAACATTTTGTTCTTCTAACGTTTAATGTTAATTTACAGTCATTAAAAGTGACATTAGAAGTTAAAAATAATTATTTCAGATTCTCGAAAAAATATACAAAGAAAAAACTACAAAAAAAAACAAAAACAAAAACCGCAAATTAAACCCATTAATCATTATTGCAGTTTTTTTTTTTTTTTTGTTTCTAAGAAGGACTGAAACAATTTTTTTTTTTTCTTGATTTAAATCTGAGAAATATTTCTATTAGGTGTGCGACACACCTCGATGACTTCCCTTTAAAATATAAAAAATGTATTAATAAAAAGTTTTGTATAACGAATTTTGGAGAGTATTAAGATTAAAATGATGTTTCGATTTGCATAGTTACATAATAAATAGGTGAGTGATTTATTACTAAAGAAAATTATTTTCAAGTAAAAAAGTTTGCTATAAAGAGAGAATTAATCAGACTTTATTGAGATTTCTTGTCATAGCAAAGAATTACTGACTGGAATGTTTATTAAGACAAACAAATACTATGACTTTGACAAGCATAAGCGTAAGTTATTTGATATTTTAAATGCAAACGAAAAGTATGAAACTATCGCAATTCGGGATCGTAATAGTGGACCCATAAATTATTCGTTCATTTATTATACCCTTCTGTTGACAAATTTTCAATTTCTCTTTTGCTCCAACTATTATAAGCATGGGGCGAGAGCCACCCGAGTGTAGCTTCAGTAAGTTCCCTTACTAAAAGCAATATAGGAGGCAAAGAGGAGCATAACTCGTTTCTTGATCTTGACTGTGAGTTACTAGGGGACTGGTAGCAGAGTTTCAAGATACTTGCAATAGTTTGTTGCTGAAATATACAGAAATTGAAAAAAAGTCCCACAAATTCACTTGTAAGCTAAGAGGAGTGCCAACAAAGCTATTAAAAGGCAAACGGCTGAGCATATTCAACTTTCACTAAAATTTTTCTTTCGACAAGGATTTTTGCTTGTGTTTGGCCAAGCCTTTCGCTCACGCTGTTTAATGTATTTAGCTAATGGATCAACAAAGAGTTGGGTATACAAAATTCGTCTTAAAATGAATATAAATTTCGCAATTTATTATTAATATTGCGGTTAAAGAGATTGTGTGACTTTATCTGTTATAAATTTATTAAGCGATTAAATGTCGTAAATTTTCAAATATGACCACACAAGATCTTATGTAACAGCCGCAAATAAATAAACAGATCAACAAAATAATGAAATCACTAAATGTCCATAAGAAAAGCAAAAAAAATAAATAAATAAATATGAAAATTGCACATAAATAATGCACAAGTGCTTGGATTTGATTGCTTCGCTTACAAAGGAGTAAAAGCAACAACAGAGTAGAGACAATAAGTTAAGAAGTTGCAAACGATAATATTTAAAAAAATATGACAATTGACCAAAAGTAAAGTTTGAAAATACATAAGACAGAGTTAAATTTAAAAAAATGCACATACATATATCATGTCCTTTATTTACGCCAATTCTATCTAGGAATCGATTACTAATCTTGTCACAACTAAGAAAATTCACTGTTGGCATAATTAGTAAGTGAAGAGGTTAGAATCTATTTTTTACACATTTAAGAAATAAGATTAAAATTATCATCAAAAGTGTTTTTCCCGATCCAAATATATAGTTTGCTGTCAAAGATAAATCAGAAGGAAAATATTGTACAGTGGGCTACGACCTACCCTACATCAACTCATAGTTATTCGTATAATGAGATTTCAAAGAACTTTATGAAAAAGTTATATGAAAAGGGGTCGAAAAAGGACTCCGATCCGAACCATTTTCTATAGTGCTCGTCCTTGGTTCAGGGTCAAAATATCTCAAAATATAAAGACCTCTTGGTTGTAGCTATGGTAAGTGTTCACTCAGTATAGGCATAATATTTACCGATTGCGCACACAAACCCACTAGGCTGCGACCATCTGCCTATATGCTTTGCTTTCTGCACTGGTTCTTCTTCGCACATCCCCTGGGTGATTAAAAGAAAAACACACACTCACAAGAAGAGAAGACAGGCAGAAAGACAATCTTAAATCGATTCAATGTAATAAAAAGTTGGTCTGTTTGAAGTCCTTGCTAGGATTGTATATGACTGCACAAACATAATATACCTATACACGGCAAGCGATGTTGGATATTATAAAAGCGAGATCAATTTTGAACCTGATAAAAGTAATTAAATTAAATCACAAAAGCGTTTGACTATAAAAACAGAATAGCTTTAGACTTTAATCCAAATATAATGTATATACACATACATACTTTTTGCGATCTATCATTTACATGATATGTGTAATGGAGGAACTGTTTACAATATTATCTGACGAATTAAACATATTGAGAGTTTGTGGCGAAACGCTGCTGTTCGCATATATTTTAACAAAGAAAAAATTTAAGGATTTCATATATTTATTTTTTATACCCACCGCTGTAAGATGAGGATATACTCAGTTTGTTTTTTGTTTTTTTTTTTTTTGCGTTATGCATGTAACACCCAAAAGGAAGCTTCAGGGACCCTATAAAGTATATATATTCTTGATCAGTGTGAAATTCTGAGTTGCTTTAGTCTATGTCTGCCCGTTAGTTTTTCTGTATGTTTAGGTGTCTGTAGGTTTTTAGCAACCTCTTGCTCGCAAAAATGAAAATGGGTCAAATCAGTTAGAGCAGAAGCGCGCAGTGCAGCGTAAACTGAACGCAACTTCGGTTTCTTAACAAATGGGTAGTAAATAAAAGAACGTAAAGAAAGGAATGCGAGAAGTACGCCGGATTCGGCTCTCGCCTGTCTTACTTATTTAAGCTTGCTTTTGCTTCTCGGTGTAAACGTCTATCGTAATTCCGAACACAAAAAAACGAAATATTTTCCGATATATAGAATAAATTGAATTTTGATGCAAACGGCTCGTAATGGCAGTTCGATCGGCAAGCAATTTTCATAAGGAACACATTTCAATATTATTCGCATATTTTTAAGTTTGCTTCGAGTTTTCAATGGTTTCATGATTGAATTTGAAATTAATTAATTAAGTTCGTAACGTCCACCTCAAGACATTGTTTATAGAGAACAAGAATATGTCAACCAATATAAGTGGGGAGGTAATCGTTCTTCCGATCTTCGTTACTAAGTATATGATATAAACTGAATAGATTTAGACTCATTTTCGATTGTTACGAAATTAGTCAACACTCTTTACCAAAAATGGGCCCAACCTCCGGAAAATAAGAAATACGATAAATATGTACGGAGTTGAAAAAAAAGTTGTTATAAGGAGACTTGATAAAATGCGAATAGAAGGGCAATCGTTCGTCATTGGACATCTTAAGTGAAATGACTGAAAAGTTTACCTTAAAGGAAATAAAATAAATAATCCTTCGTACAATCCGCCTGAGTAGCCGAAGGCGTGGAATTTCGACTAGCAAGCCAAAGGTCGTGGGTTCGAATCTCAAGTGCGGTAGAGTTTTTAATAAAAGCCAATAGCCTTAGATGCTAGTGCTTTTAAGAGTTTAGTCTTACAATTTATTTCTCTGGCGAAATTAATAATAATAACAACAAACCTTCGTACAAAGCATTAATAATAAAGAACTAGATATCGTATTACGTCGTTTACATTCGTTTTGAGATGGATGTCCATGAGCTAAATCATTTCATTTTGAAACTTTAACAGGAATCTTGCTTTCATTTTCATACTAAGACCAATTTTGGCTTTTTTTTCTAATGTTTGACTGAAAAGATTTCAACTATGAACATGTGGTTCATTATTCACCCTGAATGCCACTATCATCAGTTTAATTAAATTGCCGATGGACGTGCTTAAATTAATGCTTCTAGTCGAGCTAATTCCGCAATTTATGATTCCAAGGGATAAAAATTCTCTGCTTTTAATATTAACAGAGTAGTAGTGTAGTAGAGATTGAAAACTCTATTGGTCGGGCGTATATGAAAAAATATGTTTGGTCTTATGTTACAGTTTGAATTATATTTGCTTGCAATACAACAAAAATAACAATAACAACTTTGGCCATAACAATAATGACAATAACAACAACAATACGATAAAACTTGAATTTAAAACAATTCAAATAAATTTATTAGTTTTTATTTTAAAATGTTTTTCTTTAATTTTTTTTTTTTTTTTTTTTAATTTTGCTTTTCCACGTTTGCAGGCATAATAGGCAAGAGCAACGAAAACTTTGCAACGGCAGCTGATACTGAAAAGTTAAACAAAATTATGGATAAGATTAAAACCGCAATTTTTGCAACAGCATCAACATCGACATCGACATCACTAGCACTAAACTTTGCCGCCGCCGCCACTGCTGCTGCTTCTGCTGCTGCTGCTGCCGCCACCATCATTAACAACAACAACAACAACAACATCATCATCTTTGCTACGAGCAGCCATCACAAAAGGGTTTACGGAATTTAAGCAAAAATCTTCAAGTTGGCAAAAACACGAGCAGGTTCATAAAAACAAAAATTTATGCCTACTGAAGAAAGCGAACTGACTGCAACTGCAAGCAAGCAAGCAAGCAAGCAAGCAAACAAGCAAGCAACTAACCAACCAACAATAACAACGAACGTAACGAAAAAATGCGCTGCTCAAGTTTATTAGAGTGCAACAGTTTTCTAAATGTTTGACCATAATTTGGTCAATGTGATTATCGTAAATTTCCGTGAAAAAATTTACAAAATATAAAAAGAGAGAAAAAGAGAGAGAAAAGAAAAGAAAAAAAAAAAAAGAAGAAAATATCTGTGAATACAGACAACAACAGAGTAAATACCACAAAGTTAAGTATCGTAAATTAGTGAGCGAGTACGTGAATACCTATGAATGTAAATAAGAAATGTGTAAAAATGCTGATGATATTTAGTAAAGCGCACTGCCAGCAACAGCCAAACGTCAATACGTTTACGCGATTCCTCAACGCAACTCAGTTAATGTCAATGTAGTCATCATCGACATCATCATCATCATCATCATCATCATTATTATTATTATTATTATTATTATTATTGTAGGCAAAGCCATCAGAAGGCATCGAGTATTGCATTGCATTACATATTAACAGTCGTTTCTTGTCCGTGCCAACGTAACTTAATATAAAAGTCGCCTCGGTGTCGCTGATTACGTTCGAACGTGTAACGCGCTTTAATAAGATCCTTTTTTTTTTATTATTTTTTGTTGTTGTTTTATTATTATTATTATTTTTCTTGTTTTGCCTTCGCGTTTTACATATGAGTTGAGTTTGTTGTGTAAATAAAATGCGTGCATAAATTATAATATAGAACTCAGTTAATATACATTTAGAGTGTTTGTGTTTGTGTTTGTATTTGTATTTGTGAGTGTGTTATGCTTTTGCCTCATTTGATTTGCAAGAGCGTAGGCATTATTATTTTAGCTGTGCCTTTTGTTTAGTTGTCACTATAAAGACTTGCATGTGAAACTATATAAGTCCGTGCATAAGGTTTTAAAAAAAAAAAAACCTCAATTTTATATAAACATACACTACCGATGCGAGAAATCCTTTTTCAACTTATTACTAAGTATCCTGGTTTATGATAATGTCTTGTTTTTATGGCTACATCGGGCAAAGCAAAATATAATTGGAAATTAGTCAAAGGGTATTAAACAACGTGCCACCAACAACATCACCTTTATCATTATTATCATCATTATCGGAACGTTAGTTCTCATTTCAGTCAACAGCAGCCGCTACAACAACCACCAACAACAAATTTATAAAATTTCAACACAAAAAGGTACGTGATAAAATTCATTTTCATTTTCTATAAAAATTGATTCTACCGACGAAACGTATAATAGCTTAAGTCAAATTAAATAAAACTCCTCCTCTTTTATATAGAATTACTATAGAGAAACAATGTAGCTTTAAAAGCAAGTAAGAAAGTCATGTTCACATCCACTATATGAATGCATATTGAACGTATTATGTTAACCCTTGAAGCATCAACACTATGATAAAAGCATTATTGGGCTTTTTACTTAGTAAGTCTATTCGCATGTCATCATCATCATCTTTGTGCGAAAAATAAAAGATGTGCCTCATCTGTTGAAATATTCGCGGCCGTAAGAGGACTTATTGCGAGCACCGCCTAAAGGGACTTTTACTACGCTGTAGATCATTATCTGCCACGATTTGTAAGGTTTACCGTTTTCTATATATCTATGGCGAGTGTTTTTATAAGTATACCCTTTGCCCATTTTCAAGCTTGACCTTTGATCGGTAAGTTTGAGCAAACTAATATCAAGTTTAGTTTAATGAACTTTACGCGAGGGACTTGTCCACATCGTATGCACATGGACACATAGCCAGACGAATGGGCGATATGAAACCTCGCATAGCTAAGGCTATTCAAAATTTTTGGCTGATCATGAATAACTAGATTTTCAGGAAACTTTGATACGCATATCATCTCTATACATCCTTATCTTTGCGTAGTGCAGCATCTTTGCAGCAAGTGCAGTAAAAATAAAAAAGACTTATAAACCCATTAGTTGTATCAATGAACCGATCAAGTTGTCGTTTTATTTTCAAGTTTTAGATAACACAAATAAAAATTGCGATCAAATGTTTATTATCTCTCACAGATTATCACAGATCCTAAAATTTGTATACACAGAGTTTCTTCACCGATATTCTCGGTTCATACCCACTTTCAAATTCAATCAATGTAACTAAATTATGAAAACATAGGTAAATCTTTAATATTTCGCTACAAAGAGAAGCTTTGAATGTGCGATCGCATTTATGTTCCGAATTAATCTTCCTGGACCTAAACCTAAATTAACGACATAGGTAGTCAAGTAAGTATGTATTGTATGTCGAATGGTATGTAAAACTTCTGCAGGTATACGCGCCATATGTTTGGTTGTTGCGAAGATAACGAAAAGATGCTCTCAGTTTGCGTGGTACTGTAGGCATCCCCTTCAAAGCATTTGGCCCATTTTCAATACCAACCAACCTACATGCAAGAACTTCCAAACTTCTGCCAAATTTGAAGAGCAGGTGATTTGCGACCAAGAGGTTGTTTACAACAAACATTGCACACAGGGACAGACGGACATACTTAAATCGATTTACAATTTAATGCTAATTTGATGCTTCCTTTTCGGCGTTGCATACGTTCTGACCAAACGAACATATATCGCTCCTTCTTCGTTGATGGATATAAAAAAACATGAGTTTCGTAAAACGTTTTACTTTTATGAATTCAAACATAAAAAAAAACAAAAAGAAAACGTTAACGTCTTTTATATGGTTATTACCCATAGTCATGGAGTTAATTATTTCTTTCGTCCATGTACCAAAAATAAATATTATTAATAAATTTTATGAAACTGCAAATTATGTGGTAGCTGCAGTTGACCAGCCAGTGCAATATAAAAAATGGCACAATTTTCCAATTATTATTTATAAAGTTAATCAGCAGATTTTTACAAATATATATATTTTAAATAATCATTTAAAGGTCATTATAAAGTTAATTTGGTTAATTGATAGGTAAAAATAATAACATTAAACGGAATGAAATAATAAAACAAAATTAACAATAAAAAAATTAAAATCGAAAATAATTGAAAACACTCCTTAGCACCTGATATAAAGCATTCGAGATGTTAGAACTGTGTGCGTGGTTTTGTTCTACGTATTAGTGACTGAAAGCACGAAAAAGATAAAATCTAGAAAACGACGTATATTTGATTAGCTTATGAACTTGATGCCTCTATTTAGAACCCTTAAGTTAAAGCGACTGAATTGATCGGAATAAATAGCTTGATGGCCAACGGGTTCAACGGGTACTTTCAGTTATTGAGATATGTTATCTTTGTTCGTTTTCATCTAAAACGGTGCACTTTTCGATACTGCTTTACCTATTCAATCGAGGCTTAGCGAAATCCTAGGAAACCTTATCTGAATTTAAAGAATACTCGGAAGCAGACATGGTTCAATCGAAAATTAGAGCGCGATGAATTCAAGCAATTGTCCACGCCTTTCTACGCCCACGTTCTATACATTCGCAGATTATTAGTAGGCTGCATCTTTCCTAGCACCTATTAATCCATCTAACTAACTTAATCTGCGCATAGATCCTTTGATCATCGGTCCGGTAAGTAGGTTAAGTTCTTAGCTTAAGTACACGAATCCCGGCTGAAATTGAATTGTGAAAGTTTGGAAAGTAAATGTTTCTGAATGAAAATGTCAATATCCTGGTGCCAAAAATTTCCCCTACCGATAGCATATATCGATTGAGAATATATATTAGGTAGCATTTCCAAATACTATTGGTAGTGAGCATTAAAAATTCGCCTTAGGATAAATATATTTATTTATCTTACTCGTTTTTAATGCATATAAACATGTTTGATACGTAATGGTGGTGGTCTTTAGGTAACCGTATGTAAATGCAATCGTTTTAATGGCATATAAAATGCAACTTGACTGCAAGCATATTGCAATAATAATAGTATATCCCTCAGTAGTTGCAAATTCTTTACTGAATTTTTGCCTTTCATTTATAAAACTAATAAAAATTATATTATTGTTATATACCATATCAGGGGATAATTATTTTAACATAAAAATTAAACCGAAATTATTATTATTATTATTATTCTTATTATTATTATTATTTTCTCATTCACTATAAAAATCATCACATTTTTTATTTTACTACCATTTAAAGTCGGGACAGTCGCACACAGACACAAAAACAACACATGGATTTTAATCTGAATATATAGAGAATATAAGAGAATTTTCTCTTCTTTTATTTAAATAAAATATCGATATTAATTAATATTAGATTGTGGTGACCAGGAGATTATTGTTAATAGCATTATCGAGACAAAAGCGGATAAAACGTTTATAGAATTTTTAACAACATTTTAAACAACTTTAAAGGTTATGTCAAACAAAATTTGTCAAGGAATTACATATTTCGGATCACCATGTTTGCAACATTCGCGAATAATCGAAAGAGATGCCATTAAATTTGCTTATATATGTTATGTATATAGCAATCCCGTTTGATTTTAGCAAATCTAATGCTAAAGTTATTAACTTTTCAAAAAAGTTGTCAATATTTAGATATTGCGTCGCAAATGGGCTCAGAGTTTTCTAATTCAAAATAATCGTATGCAATCCGATCATATAGAGGCCTACAATAACTGACTGACTCAGGAATGTCTGAAAATTTTTCTTCAAAATGACCCCTATCATCTTTGCACCTATCTACAGTTAATCAATTTTTTTACGATTTTTTCCAGTCTTCCAGTTGAATGGATGCCGCATTCCCTTTAGTACAAATACATCTCCTTTTTAATTGTTTGAATTGCAACTGTCCATTGCTTTGATTCTTATATCTACTCCGCATCTTGCTTCTTAATCCTGGTTAAGCTTTTTTCAAGTCCTTTCTTTCTCCCTTTTCCTTTCCTTTCCTTTGTTTTTGCCATCTTTACAATATCGCAACGATATCACATTCTTTATATAGAAAGTAGGCAATAAAGTATAAATATATCTAACACAAGAAAGTAGGCAATGATTTTTGCAAAGAAAGGAAATTCACTTATACCAAATATAACCTTAGTATTGCGAGAATTTGAGAACTTGTTTTCGAAGAAAAAAAGAAAATTTGCATAATTGCTCACTATCAGTAACCACAAGTGAACATTTTTTCGCACTTGAAAGGATTGTTGAATTTTATTATTGATCGGTCGATTATGTCAGTTTGTCATGAAAGCCAAAAGTTGATATAAAATGTTAGCGAATGTTTTCGGTTAAAATTCGCATCTCTAGTCTGCAAAAATCTTGTCTCGAATCATATGATAGGGATAAGTAAAACAACTTGTCAACAGTTAAAAGAAAAAATTAAATACTAAATGCGAGCTACGGACATACGACTTAGTTATCAATTTTGGATTGTTGGCAAGGTCCTGCAAATATTGGAGCAGTACGTGGTTAGTTGCCATTGAAAGCTTACTCAACAATTTAAAAAATTTACAAAATATAAGAAAGATGTTTTCGCTTACATGAAGAGAAAGCTAAGTGATGTTAAGGGCATTTCGCACGAACCTAAACGAATAAAAAGACTTTACTACAACGAATGTTGTCAGCATTTAAGTTACACTTTGCATATGCATTACAAGCTAATTTACGTTATAAATTAAGTTCATATTTAAATAATTTCGACTAGAGATTTATTAAACATTTACTAACTAACTTGTAGATTGCATAATATGTATGTGTAAAGAGTTAATAATTTCCTGGCGAAGATCTCCCACATCGACTCGATCAACGTAACGCAATTGCTCATCGTATAGTTAAACAAAAGTATATATAGAGAATGTAGATATATTTGAGTAAAGAAAGCAACGCCTACTCTAACGTTCACACATGGCTACAGACGTTTTTAGCAATTTAAGCAAAATTTGTTTTTTCTTTAACCGTAGCTAATGACTTCATAACGCAAACACAACAAAATAAAGACATAAACTACTCACTCAGTCACTTGTGTCGTACACTTCTTACAAGCGTGATGAATTGTTTCGCTAAACTTAAATGAATACCGTAAACTTAACCGCTATAACAAAATGCCCGTTAAATGCATAAATAACCAAACATTTTGCATACTTTCACTAAAGCAAAAAAAAAAAAAAAAAAAAAAAATGGGGGAAAAGAAAAACACAAATGTTATATTTTTATATTTCCGCGTTCGAGAATTTTGTGTGATTGGCTTTC